TGGGAGTTTCCGAAAATACGGGGGTACCTTATTTTGGGGTCCTTATAATAGGGATCCTACTATTTAGAGTACTATATTAGGTCCCTATTTTCGGAAACCCCCATGTATCCTTTCTCAGAGACGGTTTGGAGTTTGGGGTTCAGGGTTTAGGGTTCGGGGTTTAGGGTTTAGGGTTTAGAGTTTAGGGTTCAGGGTTTTTAGGGTTCGGGGTTTTTAGGGTTCAGGGTTTAGAGTTCAGGGTTTTTAGGGTTCAGGGTTTAGAGTTTAGGGTTCAGGGTTTTTAGGGTTCAGGGTTTTTTCGGGTTCAGGGTTTTTAGGGTTCAGGGTTTTTAGGGTTCCGGGTTTTAGGGTTTAGGGTTTAGAGTTCAGGGTTCAGGGTTTTCAGGGTTCAGGGTTTTTGGGGTTTAGGGTTTTTCGGGTTCAGGGTTTTTAGGGTTCGGGGTTTTCAGGGTTCGGGGTTTAGAGTTTAGGGTTCAGGGTTTTTAGGGTTCAGGGTTTAGGGTTCGGGGTTTTCAGGGTTTAGGGTTTAGAGTTTAGGGTTCAGGGCTTTTAGGGTGCAGGGTTTTTAGGGTTCAGGGTTTCGAGTTTAGGCTTCAGGGTTTAGGGTTCAGGGTTCCAAAACCCGTTAATTAAGGAATATACATTAAAGGATTATAAGAACCCTCATAAGATGTAAGGTATATTCCTAAATGAAGGGATTTCGGAAACTCTGGGTCCAAGCACAGGTGACCGGCTAGTGCTGGTAGATGGTGGTGGTCGTGGTAGTGGTAGGGTAGTAACCTGGTAGTAGTGGTGATGATCGTGTAGGGTAGCATTGGGAGTGGTAGCAGTGGTTATGATCATGTAGCCCTAAACCCTAAACCCTAAACCCTAAACCCTAAACCCCCAAACCCCTAGTTACTGCCGTTGTTGGTTTCTTGCTGTTCGTACGTTGACCGCCAATGGCTCCTGCATGGAAAGGCCAGGCTTGCCGTGGTGCAAGCTTCCAAGAAGCACTTGCAGGTTGGTGCCTCGGTGTTTCGACCCGAGCCTTTAGGGTTTAGGGTTTAGGGTTTAGGGTTTAGGGGGTTTGGATGTTTCGGCTGAACCCCAGAACCCCTTGTGATACGGAGTCTCTGCTTTCTGGGATCGGCATCTTCATGTCTGTCTCTCTTCGCATGTGTCTGGCGTAGTGAGCCCTGAATGCTGAAGGAACCTTTGCATGCTTGTCTCGCGATGTTTTAGGAGTTGGCGAAACAGCTGCCGAAGACCGGCAAGCTGGAGTTGCGATGGATGCAGGCGCTCGATCTGATCTCCCCCTGAATGTCTCTGTCAAGATCCCACTAAGGACCGTTATACTACCTCTAAGAACCCGTTCAGAGCCCTTATAGAACAGGAGAGGAGGGAAGAAGAAGCAGACGAGCCGTTTTGAACCGAGTCTGGACCCCCCCGTGAATCCACCAATCCTTTTGAGCCCGTGTAAGTACAAATGGGCGCTTTGAGGAACGACGGGGGTCGTTGTTGAAGCCAAGACTTGGGTTTGGGCAGCACTGGTGTGAGAATGGAGCTGTTTGCATCTGTCGATCGTCTGGACAGTCTCCTTGTGGAGCTCACTATCATCCTCGTGTCCTGATTGTGACGATCACGATAAAGGGAGATGCCGACGAAGATGGTGGTTCTCGGAGTAGGCTGGCAAAGCCTCATGGTTTCGATCGAAAAGCATGGAACCTGAGGAACGTGCCTGGTGGGCTTGTGGTACAAGCTTGCAAGAAGCTCTGCATGCCTCACAGAAAGCGTTGCAGCCGAAGCCTGGTGCTTGCAAGCTGCCAATGCGAACTTGCACGCAAAACGACGTTGAAGCGGCCGGGGTCTCAACAGAGATGCTATTCATCTATCTCTATCTATGTAATTATCTTCCATTGCTCTGCGTATTGATGTTTGCCCAGGAAGCAGTCTGCAAGAATACCTACACTCCTGCATACACATGTGTCGCATACATGCATGTGATCGACAGATGCCAGGGATTGATGGACACATGTATCCCTGCCTGCATGCACCCATGAACATAAGGAGTACCCAGACCCATGTTTTGCTGAAGATTCGCATACGCACGATATATTTGCCCGTGCAAAAAGCTGTCAATTATATGCGCATCACTTTAGAGTTGGAGTCTTGGAGCGGAGATGTGGGCAGGACTTGCGGCAAGTCGACGACCAACGCCTGGACGAATTGCACAAGACTTTGTCCAAAGGCTTCGCTGAGGTCCGGGACCCGGGCCTTCCAGAAGACGTATCCTAACCCTAAACCCTAAACCCTAAACCCTAAACCCTAAACCCTAAACCCTAAACCCTAAACCCTACCATGGAGGGGGCCCCCCCGCCCCGTTGCCCTGTCGTGACGTGGCTCTTCGGTTTTGATGTCGCCCAGGTTCAGTCACTGATAAGCGTGGCATCCTGAGAAATGCTCTGAGTCATGGCGGCTCCACGATCTGAAAACTCGGCACGTGATCAAAAGAACTAAGGCGGCAAGAGAGGTGGAGCTGAAATCCATGGCCAAAGAAGGCTTTCCAGCGCCGTCCGCTGCAAATCTACCGTGTGCATGGGATTCGTGGCGCCAGGTTTGCAGAGCATTGCTTCGGCGTTTCTATCTGCTGACTTCCAGGCTGGTTTTGCCTCCCGAACAACCAAACAATCATCATAATTTTCACCTTAGGGAAAGCCACGAAGCCTGGAATGCAAGTGTGTCGTGTCAAGGCCAGGTGCTCTTTGGCACTGCCGGACAGGCCGGGTATCTTCAGCAGAGCAGAGGCTTAAGCTGCTCATAAGGGCTGACTAAAGGGTCGATAAGGGTTGCCATGAGAGTCGAGGGGGGAGGGAAAGAGCGGGAGAGGCCGTATCTGCGTTCTGAGCACTCAGCCGCTGCTTCGGAGGCTTGCAGCCGAAATGAGGCTCCCTTCCGTTGCTTTGTGGGTGATCTGACTGAGGGTGACTCGTGCAAGTAAAGGCTTTCCCTGCTTGCTGTGCCGATGTTGGAATGCTGAGCTGTGGTAGTTACATCGCTGCGCGATTGCATTCGCGTGTAGCCTGTAGATGACAGGCAGCTGGCCAGCAGCGCAGCCGTGCCAATGAGCGCAGTTATGAGCGCATCACCCCAAGCATCAGGATGCGAATGTTTCTGCTCACCTACCCGCTTAACAGGGTCACACCTCAAATTCCTCGTCCTCGCCGGTTTTCCGGCCTCTACGTTTTGCGATTCCTGCATGTAACCTCCAACTCGCATCCATGCCCGGCCAGTGGTAACGTCCATCCCGACCGCATCGCCCGCGTTTTGGCGATTGACCGCAACACTTTGTAGGGGAATCCCCATATTTGCTTAGCCAGGGGTGCACCCCAACCGCATCAGTTTGGATGGACAGGCTTTCGTGTTGTCGGTACTCGCTCCGAGCGATCCTGTAGCCTGATAATGCGCCGTTGCATTGGCAAGCGCAGTGGTGTTGTCCTGTCCGATCTGCCACCAGTGGGAAACCTTGTCGACTTCCTGGATTGTTCTGCAGTCACAGTTGTCATGGTCTTCGCCTCCCTCCGCTGTGTCGATGCTCAGGTTCCGGCGTCCAGCTGAGAGAGAAAGTCAGGGCACGATGCGTGTTCTTGTCAGCAGTCCGAAGACGGCAGCCTCATTCACAGCGCGCCTGGGTTCTGAAGCATGGGCAGCTGACGCACAAAGTGGAGATACCTGACATGAAGATGAGGATCAGCAGGTTCAAGGAGTGTTCAAGGTGTACCTCTGAGCCTAATGGCCTTTGGCGTCTACAGGTGGGCAGCCCAGCTTCGGCAGGTAGTGGTTGCACACTGCAGCACAGCCGTTCAGATCCGGTCAGTAATTGCATAGGCCGAGAAGGTCCTGTCAGGTGGTGATTTTAACCGTGGGCTCCTACGGCCTTCTCTCCGCAGCGCTGCACCCTTCAAGCGCGGTGCCCAACCGATCAGGTGAGAGTTTCCGCTTTTCGGCCCTACCCCGAGATGGCGGCGGTGATGTGTTGCGATGAGCCCATCGACGGAGGAGACGTGAAGCGATCAGAGCACTGGTCGTACGTCGGCCAAGGGAGGGGCGCTTATGAGACTGTCAGTGCTGCTTGCCTGCCTTTGTTTCTAAACTTTTGGGCTGCCTGCCCCTCTCTCTCTCTCTCTTCCTTTCTCCCTGTGTTGAACAAAACGCACGCTTCTTAAAGCATGACTCCTCCGCCTCCGAGGATGTCGTGTTTGTTGGGCACGGCAAGGGCAGCATTCAAAAGGAGGTGAAGACGACAAGCCGCCCGACGAACATGTGGGGGCCATGCGCAGTGGCCATCGGCCTGATCTTTCTGTGCCATCGGCTGCATTCGGTGCTGCGCGTTTCGTCCGGTTAGGGTTGCATGTGTGCTCTTGCGACTGTTGTTGGCCTTCATCCAAGGCTGTTGATCGGCATCTTCATGATCTTTCTGTTGCATCGTCATACCCCAGTTCAAGCGGATGTGATCGCATACACGACAACGGCACCTCCGCCGCCGAAGCAGATCATCATCAAGCACCACTACATCACACAAAATCGGGACAAGGTGGTGGGATACCCCGTTCCTGGACCTTCTCATGTGGTGTATCATAAAGTCTACAAGCCGAATGCCCACTTTGACTGCTCCACAGATGCCCTGAACTACCGAGCCTGGTCAGCGCAGCATCAGAAATGGTGCTGTTGGGCTGAAAGCGTCGCATGCCCAACCAAGGTGGTGAACGTAGACAAGTATGTCCCAGTTACCAAGACAGTTCCAGTCACGGTGCCGAAATACCACTATGTGAAGGTGCAGGGGCCAGAGCCAGAGCCCAAAATTGTGCACATCAAGGTGCCCTCAGAGCCCCTTCCCCCCAAAGTGGTGAAGGAACCCTTCCCGGTGCGAGGGGAGAGGCCCCCGGCTCACATCCACTACAAGTACGTGCCGGTGGCTCATCCCGTGGAAGTGCCCAAGGTTGTCTATGACAAGAAGGTGGTGAAAGTGCCCGTTGCGGTGAAGAAGTATGTCCCGAAGGTTGTGCACGAGCCACCCAAGATCATCCACAAGACCCACATCATTTACGATCATCATCATGAATACGACTGCGTCGAAGGCTTTCATGACTACAAGCACTTGTGGTCAACCCCGCACAGGGAGTATTGCTGCTGGAAGGAGAGCCGTGGTTGTCCCGGGACCCACGAGGAGGACCACATGAATGTCATCACGCACACCAAGTACATCGACGTGCCGGTGCCATCCCCTCCGAAAGTGGTGATCAGGCATCACAAGATCGTCAAAACCAGCCATCATGAGCTGAGACACTTCAATTGCCATGCGGGCTACTCCAACTGGTATTTTGGGTGGTCCAAGACAAAGCAGGACTGGTGCTGTGCTCATGAGAGCAGAGGATGCGAGGGCACATGGAAAGGACACATGCACGTCAGCATGGGTGCCTCGATTCATGCTGCTGCCGCCGGAGCAGGGAAGGCAACGGGCACCATCTACGATTGCGATGCCGGGTACTCCAATTGGCTGCATGGTTGGTCGGACTCCAAAAAGCTATGGCTACCTGGCTGCACAGCTGGCAATGCAAAGTTCGCAGCCTTTTTCAAAGTAGCAGCTTGCGCCTTTTGAACTAGATGTTTCAAAGTGCATGCCCGTTCAAGCTCAGGTGCTGCGAGCATCATGAGAAGGGCTGCGCTGACCACCACTGCTACCACGGAGAGCCTGATGATTGGTCTGATGAGAAGAGCCACTACTGCTGCCAGCACTTCCAAAGAGGCTGCCCTCGTACCACAGTTTCCCCACTGGGTTGCCAAGCGCCGTGCACCCATGGGGGTGAGACTTCTCTCTGCGTCGACCGCATGAAATGGGCCGAGGAGAACCACTTCAGCGGCCGGAGCAATGCCTGTGCTTTGGCCTACAGCCAGGTTCAGGTGGAATGCGACATTTGCAGAGGCTGTACCATCGAAGCTGCTGGTTGCGAAGTACATGTGGCGACTTCCGAGCCCTATGATTGCGACGCCGCCCTCAACAACTTCTTCCGAGCATGGCCGCGGCCTTAACATAGCCTGTGTTCTCTCTCTCTCTCTGTGTTTTTCCTTTTTTCTCTGGTGGCTGTGGTGTCACGGCTGAGGTCTCCCCCGAAGAAGCACTGGTGCTGCTCGGTGAAGGGAAAGGGCTGCGAGGGTGCACAGCCTCCGGCTGTCGACCCGGGAGCGGGCATGGTCTGGAAGCACGTGCAGGTGAATGGCTATTGGACCTGGGTTGCTGTGACCGTGTCCGGCGGCGCTGCCGTCGCAAGTCTCCCATATGATTGCCATGTCGGTCTGACTAATTGGCACATCGGGTGGTCGGCACCGAAGAAGACCTGGTGCTGCGCCAATCAGAAAATGGGCTGTGAGGGAGCAGGAGGCGGGGCCGCTGGCGGTGGCGCTTGGCACACCCACACCCACACGGAGGTACACGTCTTCCACGGAGGCGCCGCCGGAGGCGCAGCCGGAGGCGCATTCGGAGGTGCAGCCGGAGGTGCTGCTGGAGGTGCGGCGGGAGGTGCCGGCTTTCCACCTGGCGCGGCTGGCCAGGGCATGGAGTGGAAGTGGGAGAACGATGGAGGCCACTGGCATTGGGGACAGATCCACATGGAAGGATCTCCCAAATACGACTGTCACGCTGGCCTTGCCAAGTTCAAGATGGGCTGGTCGGTGGGCAAGAAGACATGGTGCTGCCATTTCGAAGGATTGGGCTGCGCATAAGTTCTCCTGGCGGCTTCGCGCGGCCCGCCAGGAGCTTCAGTTCGTCTTCTTCACTTGGGTAGTTGTCAAAATTATGGTCCCTTTTGGGGTACCCTAAATAATAGGTGCCGTATTATAATAAGAACCCAAAAAGGGACCATAATTTTGACAACCACCCACTTGAGGTCATATTTTGTTCTTCCAAATCCGACGGAAGAGCCCTGACAAGTCTGTGAGCCGAGGCCAATCGACCGTCGAGGGTGATGCTCTGCCCGGAGCCACGGTCGTTGAAGACGCGCTTGATGGCTGCACGAGTTTAGCGTGCCGGAGCCCTCGGTCGAATTAGTGCAGACTGACGCAATGACATGCTCTGCCTTGCAACTCGCAATTTCTTGCAATTTGGGACTCATCGCTGTCATGCCCAAAGGGGCATGGCATTCAGAGGTGAGCTTAGGCGTACTCCAGCTTTCGCAGCAGATGCCCTGCATCCCGGGAGCACCTGCTGAAGTCGGTTCGCAAGTACATCTGACAGCCACAGCACATTTTTTCACATTACCCACATTATTCAGCACTGCTCTAATTTTTCATATTACAACATTATTCAGCACTGCTCTAATTTTTCACATTACCACATTATTCAGCACTGCTCTAAAGGAACCGACCTGTCCCTCTACGTGCACCATGTGTGGGACATTGACACTGTAGGCTTGTTCAGGACAGGTTGAATCCGTGGTCATGGCGGGGAAAGTGACATCAACTTGAAATGTCGTGAGTCATGCCGTGTAATAACCATTGAGGTTCGATCCTGATCAAGGTTTCACCCGACGACTTAGACTTGCCTGCCGAGCGGAGGAAATCTGACAGAGTCGCTGTCGGCCAACTTGCGCTGCCTTCGACCCTTTCTGACGTTTGCCACATCGGCTTCTGCCTTGCTTGCCTGAGGTGACGCTGCCCGGAATGGCCCTCATATGGTGAGTCGGGAGTCGTGCGTGTGCTCGGAGGATGAAAGAGGATGGGGCCAACAGATGCGAAGCCATCATGCTTGCAGGTTATCAAGCTTTTGGCTCGTCCGTCAAGAAAAGGGAAAGTCTTCCTGGGCAAACTTGGACAGCCGTGTCAGCAAGACAGGCCATGTGATGCCTCTTTTGATCTTGGTCCAAGCTGCAGATGCTCGTAGCTTCCTGAATGTGTCCTGCAGCTCTGGCCCCAACCTGAGAGTTTGCCTCTGTTGGCGCACAGTCCAGAAGACCAGCACTATAGGAGAAGGGTTTCCGGACATAGAATCTGCTTATTGACAGACTGGTTGATTATGTTTATTTCATGCTGCTTCGACAGTCAGTAATGCGGGGCGAGTGTAGTTGAACACAGCTATCAAATCCAACCTCTCTTCACGGAGACTGTCCAGACAATGAACCTGTTCTTACGAAGAACGGTACGGGAGGTCGTTGCGGACAACGCTATGATGGTTTGACGGACTGGCAACGATTCATATGAAGTTTGGATTCAGCGCTGATGTTTAGTTTTGCTGTGTCGGAGTTACCGTCAGTTATAAAGAGTGCGTGCAGTGGTTGGTTGTGGAAGTGACAGGGCATTCATGAGTACATGCAAACACCCATCCGTGCAGGGCATTCATGAGAAGATGCAAGCATCCATCCATGCAGACATACCTACATGCAGCCTGCCTGCCTGCCTGCCTGCCTGCCTGCCTACCTACCTAGCTAGCTAGCTAGCTAGCTAGCTAGCTACCCACCCACCTACCTACCGACCAACCGACCACCTACCTCCTGTCCTACCTGCCTACCCAAAAACCAAACCTTGAACCCTGAAGCTAAACCCGAAACCCCGTAAACCCCTGAAGCCCGGCAACCTCGACCCCGAAGCCCCGAGGCTCTTCTCCATGCCGGATGACCATCTGGAGCTGGAGCCCGCACCTCACGCAGCAGACTACACATCACACTCGACCATCCAGGTAGCTGTGTACAACCAGCCTATTTGCATACTTGACTGAGTTGGTTGGGAGCTTGCATATACGGGAAAACTTCTCGTAGCTGAAATGAACAGCTAAATAACAAAACATATGTATATGTATATGTACATG